CTCCCATCCGCAGGAGGTAGGGTCCACGTGGGGTCACCCTGGAGCGCACCCCCTTTAGAGAAACCACAGGAGCCAAGGTGGGGCACCCCTCCTGGCCCACAGGCCCCTGGCGGGTGAGGCTTCCTTGTCTCCCTCTACCTCCTCCCTCCCCTCTCCTCTCCTGCCTGCAGACCTGGGGCAGCCGGGAGGGCGGGGCCAGAGGAAAGAAGGGCGCGCCTGTCTGGGCCCGCCTGGAGTGACCCGGCTCCCACCACCGCGGAGGTGGGCTTGACCTCCCGCCAGATCCCCAGGCCCGGGAGGGGGTGGGGCGCAGGGCCCGGCGCCGCCGCCGCCGAGAACAGAGAGTGCCTGTGCGCCGGCGGGAGGAGCTCGCAGGTCCCCTGGGGTCGGCTCCGGGACAGTTGCCGTTTTAATCAGCAGCCGACGGCCGGACGGCGGTAACCCAGATCCGCTCAGCGCCGGTTCGGAGGCGCCGGCGGGGTCCAAGGGCAGGGCCGCTCCCGCCGTGACCCCCAGGGCAGAGGGGTCCTGGCCCAGCCAGGTCCGCGGCGGCCTTGCAGCGTCCCTCCCGGTCCGCGACGGCTCTCCCCGCCCCCGTGCGCGGCCGCGGGCGCGGCTCCCCATTCGGGTGGGGGCGCCCGCTCCGGAGCTGGGCCCTGCGCTCGCAGCCCAGCCCGGGCAGGCAGGCCTGGAGGTCACTCCCCACAGCGGCCCTGCGAGACCCACCACCGCCTTCCCCTTCGGGCGCCGGCCGACCCGGGCGCTGGGCGGGGCTCCCCGGGGCCGCCGCGCGCTCTGCCCTTCGGCGGCCCCCACCTGCCCGCGGCCGCACCGCCTCCCGGAAAACGTGGGTGGTTCCGGGGAAGGTGCGCCCCCCGCCCTGTGAGCCCCGGCGGCCCGGAGGGGGCCTGCCTGGACCCTGGACGGCGCCCCGCTCCCTCCCCAGCGCGGTGATCGGAGCCCACACTGCCGAGGCCACGCGGCGGGTCCGGGACCCGACCTTGTGGCGGGGGCGCCCACCCTTTCCGCGCGCCCATCCTTCCCCTCACCCCCACACAGAGCCAGGGCTGCTGCCGGAGATCCAGGCCGCGGTTTCTATCCGGCCGTCTGCCAGCGCCCGGGCACACAGGTGAGGGGTCTCAAGGGGCAGAGAGCAAAAAGTGGGGCGGATCGGCCGCCCTGGGAAGGGCTTCTGGTGCAGGCCTCGACAGCCAACATTCATTAAACTATGGACAACAGGTACAGAAAGCACCAGCTGCTCCGTTTGCTGCTGGACCAGCACCCACGCAGGACTCAGGCCAGCGGGAGCTTTTGGAAAAGCAATCCCACCAGATCTCCTGGCCTTAAGCACACACACCCCTTCCGTGCAGGCAGGCACCCGGGGGCCCATGGCAGCTGAGGTGCAAATAAAATAACCATCCTAGTCAGGACTGTATGTTGTGCCTGTTTGTAGGCAAAAGGGAAGGTGTGGAAGGGCACGTCCAGGATGATACTTCTGGCTACCAGGCAGAGCCCAGAAAGGACGGCTAATAAATCCTGTCTCACTGCGTGGGGAAGACCAAACAAGAATAAGCACTCACCTCCACCAAACCTGTGCTGGTGTGACAGTGGTGGAAGGGAGAAGGCTTGGCTGTGAGGGTGCCCAGCCAAGTGTGGCCGTGACTCTTCCCAGTTCCTACGTGGGGTTCTAGGGACCATCCCAGGAGTGGGGCCATGACCTGCACAATCCCAGGGGGCCTAGAGTCTATGAAGCCTGCGCAGACTGCACTGCCCCTGGGACTGAGCCCAGGGAACTCAGCGCGCCCTCCCCCGCCTCAGACCAGCTGCAGGGTTCTGGACCCCCGTTTGGACTTGATCCTGAAGATGGGTGCAGTGTGAGGAGACTGAGCCCGCCTGCAGAGGCAGGAAGAAGAAGGCCTGGGCACTTTCCACTCCCCCACCAACCCAACATCCTTGAGGGCCGGGTAATTCTGTGATTCCAGATGTTCAGCAGCTGTCGTGGCCATTTCCGCCCCTTCTCTGACCCCACATCCGCCAGGAAGCGTCCCCTCCTGTCCTCAGGCTCTGAGCCAGCCCCCATCTTCCCAGCTCCCCATTTCCTGAGCAGGGGCGTTTGTGCAGGCTCAGCTCCCTGCCAAGCCCTGGCCCTGCTCCTGGAGCCTGGGCCGCTGTGGTCAGACCCCCTTGGCCAGGGCTCTGAGCCTGCCCCAGCCCCTCCAGCCTCTAGGACTGGTTTTCTCTCTCTCCGTTCCTTCTCCGAGGTCGGCTGGGCAGCCTGCGCATAAATCCAGAGAGACTGAGCAGAGCTGCCTGGAGGGAGGGTGGGAGAAGGCCAGAGGTCACGGAGACCAGCAGGCTCTGTGGGGGTGGGTGCATACTTAGGTTGTCTGCCTGCAGACCCTGGGGGTGTGGGGTGGAGGGGTGCCTGAGAACTGACAATGGGGGACATAGCCTCACCTTCCCGGAGCAGATGGGGGCACAAGAGGTCACTGCAGCTGGTCCAGTCTGGAGGTTCTTCTGGAGGGGACAGCGGGAGGAGGGCTCCCTTCCTGTCACATGCTTCCTGTCCAACAGAGCTGGTGGTTCTGGAGCACTCAGGCTCCCATGGGTATGGGTTGGGGGTGGGGCTGGGGGCTCGTCAAAGGTCAGGCCAGACACAGGGCAAGGGTTCCAGGGGGCCAGGGCTACAGCGTGCTGACTTCTGCCCCTCAGAATCCAACCCCCACCTCCCCCACCTTTCCACCTCCCCCTACTCCCCACCTCCCCCACCCTGCTCTTCCAGGGAACACAGGGCAGATGGGCTTGGCTGAGAAAGCCAGCAGGGAGACTTCTGGGGGATCAAAGCAAAATGTGGCACATCCCACACACTATGGTCCAGGGTCCCCGCTTCTGGGGTCGGGCTGAGGATGCAGTGAGCCCCCCTGCTCTGCTGGGGTTACTCCTCTGGTCTCACAAAACGAGCTTCTGGGTCGGCACTGGGCCTCCCCTGGCACCTGAGTTTACGAAAGAGGTTCCTGGTAGAGTAATGCCCCTGCCTTCGCCCAACGATTACACAGCCCCTAACCACGGTGCCAGGGCTATTTAATGGGAGGATGACCACCTATCACCAGGGCACCCCACCCACCCTTTGACGCCGTTGTGGTGCGTTGAGGACTTCCTCTTGGGGCAGTCCCCCCACTGCCCCTCAAGACCCAGTGAAGAGGGAAGGTGGTTCAGGGCAGAGGAACAGGAAAGGGCCTTGCCAGGTGCACCTGTGGCCCTGAGACACTATTGGGGCCTCAGGCCCTGACCAATGAGCAGAGCAGCCCAACCTGGAAGCAGAGCTGGGCAATCTGGGCCTCAGCCAGCTGGGGACGGGGGCAGGGGACAGAGTTGCCAGATTGAGCAAAAATCAACCAAAACACAGGATATCCAGTATGTTCCATGTGATATTTAGGACATACTTATACTCAAAAAGTATTTTTTCTTTATCTGAAATTCAGATTTAACAGGTTCTGTATTTTATCTGGAAACTCTAGGGCAGTGGTTGGTCGGCAAACTCATTAGTCAGCAGAGCCGCAGTTTGCCGACCACTGCCCTAGGGGATAGTCAACCCTCCCAACCCTGCTGCCTTGCCCATTGGGCAGCAATGTCTTCAACTCTGCTTCCCAAATGCGGTGGGGCTGACTGGGTCGCTGTGCCAGGAGAAGTAGGGCGGGAGTGGGGTGGACCCAGGCTCACAGGGAAGCAGAGGCTACTGGTCCTGGAACCCTCTCCCCAAAAGGCTCGGGCTCTGAGGCAGGCCAGGCTCGTGGGCTGCAGGAGGCTGGCTGGCTTTGCCAAATTCCTGTTTCAGGTCAAGAAACTGTTGAATGAGGCCCCTGTCTGGCTCTTCCCTGGCTCCTTTTGTGGCCTCTACCCTGCCACCTTTACCCTCTGGTGGCCGGCCGCTCTGGCGGAGAAAAAGGGGAACCCACCGAAGCCTTCTAGAAAAGAGGAAGATACATCTTATGGGGGTGGTTTTAGGTGGAGGAGGGCTCAACCAGGGCTGAAAATGAGGAACTGGCCAGGAAGGGCCCACCTGGAAAAGGTCACTGCCTGTGCTGGTGCCACTGGAAAGAGGATCTGGAACACGTGGGTTTGCACCTCATTCGCCCCTTTCTGGAGAAGATAAGGTGTGGAGGGGCCTGCACAGCTGCCTCCCTGCTCCGGGGGTCCACTGGCCGCGGGTCCGGGTTCTTGGGCTGTTCCGTGCACAGGGAGGGCTGGGGGCATCTAGCACAGGTCTGGCCAGGGAATCTCCACCCCCCCACCTTACCCCTCCCACCCCCCACCTCTCCACCGCCACACCCACCCCACTTCTCCAGACTTTGTCTCTGTAAATGCTCAGACAGCCTGACCCCAGAGCTGTGGGCGGCCCCAGCTTCCTCACCTCCACTGTGGGGATTCCTGCCTCTGTTTAAAGGGGGGGGGGGGAGGGGGGCTTGGCGCAGTGGATAGAGCATCGGCCTGCGGACTGAAAGGTCCCAGGTTTGATTCTGGTCAAGGGCATGTACCTTGGTTGCGGGCACATCCCCAGAAAGGGGTGTGCAAGAAGCTGCTGATCGATGTTTCTCTCTCATCAATGTTTCTAACTCTCTCCCTCTCTTTAAAAAATCAATAAAATATATATATATTTAAAAAGTGGGAGGGGGTGTTGCTCAAAGTGCTGGGAGGTGAGTGAAGCAGGGACAGGGGAAATACAGTCAAGGAGGGGATAGAGAGGGTGTTTGTGTCTCAAGGGTGGGGCGGCACTTGAGGGCCTGGGAACCCTTTGTGAGTCCATCACAGGGTGTAGCCCTCCCCCCAGCAACAATGACTCACAATGCAGGCTAGTGCGGATGTCACAGCGAGGGGCGCCCCAGAACAGCTCCGAGCGGTGCTAGCCCTGCAGTGCCCGCTGGGCCGGGCCGGGGTCTCCCAGCACGCCCCCCTCCCCCCGGAAACCGCATTAGGGTTCCCGCAGAGCAGCCTCGACGCCCATGTGTGTCGTCTGCTTCGTGAAGACGCTGGTGCACGTGTTCAAGATCTACCTGACTGCCAACTACACCTACAACTTCCGCGGCTGGCCGGTGGACTTCCGCTGGGATGACGTGGGCGCGGGCGCGGGCGGCAGCAGCCACTGCGCGCTCACGTGCACGGCGGCCGCGGCGGGCGTGTGGCTGCTGCAGGACGCCGCGCTGGGCGGGGGCGCGCCCGGGCGGCCGCTGCACGCGGCGCGCAGCCAGCTGCAGTGCCTTCTGCAGCAGATCCGGGAGCTGCCCGGCCAGCTGGCCAGCTACGTGCTGGCCCACTCGCTGGGCCGCTGGCTCGTGTACCCGGGCTCCATGTTCCTGATGACCCGAGCGCTGCTGCCGCTGCTGCAGCAGGGCCAGGAACGCCTGGTGGAGCGCTACCACGGCCGGCGAGCCAAGCTGGTGGCCCGAGATGGCAACGAGATCGACACCATGTTCATGGACCGCCGCCAACACCCGGGCAGCCAGGGCCGCGGCCTGCGCCTGGTCATCTGCTGTGAAGGCAACGCCGGCTTCTATGAGATGGGCTGCCTGTCGGCGCCGCTGGAGGCTGGCTACTCGGTGCTGGGCTGGAACCACCCGGGCTTCGGGGGCAGCACCGGTGAGCCGTTCCCTCAGCACGATGCCAACGCTATGGACGTGGTGATCAAGTACGCCCTGCACCGTCTGCGCTTCCCGCCTGCGCACGTGGTGATCTATGGCTGGTCCATTGGCGGCTTCACAGCCACCTGGGCCACCATGACCTACCCGGAACTGGGTGCACTGGTGCTGGATGCCACCTTCGACGACCTCGTGCCTCTGGCCCTGAAGGTCATGCCCCAGAGCTGGAAGGGACTGGTGGTGCGCACCGTGCGCGAACACTTCAACCTCAATGTCGCGGAGCAGCTATGTAGCTACCCGGGGCCGGTGTTGCTGCTTCGGCGAACTCTGGATGACGTGGTCAGCACCTCGGGCCACCTGCGCCCCCTGCCGTCCGGCGACGTGGAGGGCAACCGCAGTAACGAGCTGCTCCTGCGCCTGCTGCAGCACCGCTACCCGATGGTGATGGCGAGTGAGGGCCAGGCCATCGTGACCCGCTGGCTGCGCGCCGCTAGCCTGGCACAGGAAGCTGCTTTCTATGCGCGCTACCACGTGGATGACGACTGGTGCCTGGCATTGCTACGCTCCTATCGCGCTCACTTCAAGGACAAGCAAGAGGACGAGGAGGTCTGGGGACCGCATGGGCTCGCCTTCCCGTGGCTAGTGGGCCAGGACCTGAGCTCGCGTAGGCGCCGGCAACTTGCGCTGTTCCTGGCGCGCAAACACCTCAAGAACCTGGAAGCGACTCATTGCAGTCCGCTAGAACCTGAGGACTTCCAGTTGCCCTGGAGACTGTAGCCTGAGCCCCCGAGGCAGCTAGCGTTTGTGCTTTTGCTGATCTTCAGGGCCTCAGAGCCATCGCCCTCCCCACACCCCAACCAGTAAAGCTGGCCTGCCCTAGGCACCCAACCTAGTTTGTGGGAGAGGGTGAGACATTCCTAGCCCCCTCTCTCTTCCTCCCTCCAACACTGTGGATGTCTGGGTCTGCTCCCAGTTCCTAAAGGGAATGCAAAGATTACTCTGACCCGATTAATAGCGATGCTGTGTGAACAGTGGGAACAGGCTGTGGGGCCTTCGGAGGTGCTGTTGACCCACCGTGGGTTACAGATGGCTCAGGGAAGATGATAGTGAAGGGTCTGAACAGGTTGCCCCTAGCTGGGAAAGGACATTGGCAACTAAACGCAGGTCTTAGCAGCCAGAACTTTCCTGGACTGTGATGTTGCTCCATGGGGTCCTCTCCCTACCTCCACTGCTGGCTTCTATGAGAGGGGTTCAGTGGGACCACAGACTCAAAGTAACAGGTGCACACCATGTGGCTTGTAGCTGCTGGCCAAGGTGGCTGTGGGCCCGTTACCTACAGGCCCACGGGCCCATGGGCCCATGCTCCACCCCTCCCTCGGTTGGGTCTCAGTCTCTTGATGCTCTCCTCCTCCTCTGCCTGCCCTAAGGCCCCTCTCAGCTCCTGGGCACCGACCACACCTGCACCAAACACTTATTGCTGAGCATCTACTGAGCCAGGACTGGACTGGGCCTTGTTCCTAGTTCAGGGATGTAATAGATAACGAGAAACAAGCCCTCTGCTCACCACTATCTGCGATACAGTCACTTTCTTACTGTCTGCCCTGAACTGTGTGAAGCAGGGACTACTTGCTGTCCCCAATCTCTGGGGACAGGCTGGTCAGGGTGGGTTGAGCAAGAAACTAGAAAAACAACTGAAAAAGTCAAGTGGGGCAAACGTATAATTGACAGCACCAGGGCAGGACACGGCCACGGTGCAGCCTGGCAGGCATAAGCAGAGGTGGGTACATAAGGTGACCTCCATTACAGGAAGATGCCTGCGGGAGGTGAGTTTTGAGCTGAGTCAGGAAGGAGTTAGGTGAAGGAAGTGGCTTCCATACCTGGGGATTAGAGTGACCTGGCTGGAATCGGGGAATACAATTCCTGAAGAGTCAGATCCTAAAGGGTTTGAATACCATTTAAGGATTTTGCTTTCAGGGGCAATTAGGAAAGGGATTGTCTTTGAAGGACTGGTTGCCTGACGGTTGCACATCTCTCTTCTGATAAGTTAGGCAAGTTAGACTCTTGTTCCAGAATCGGCTGGAAGCCCCTTAACTAACTGAATGACCTTGGCAAATTACCCCAACTTATAAGGTTTTCCCTCCTCCCAACTGGTGGGCGGAGTTATGACACATTACTGGCATCTGTCACAGAGACATCTCCAAGACATTGAACACGTGCCAAAGTGTCCTGGAGCCCACCCCTTCCTGTTCTGCCCTGGGTCCAACCCTTTCCTGTTCCTCCCCTTAAAAAGACCCCCGGAACAGCCACGTGCTGCTGATCCTCCATGTCCAGGTGGCATTCCAGCTGGGTCCATCCCCCCTCCCAACTCCTTCAATTCTGATTTCTCTACCTCCGTAATGAGTCCCGCTCATTACTGGGGAATAAACTTTACTTTAAAATATCTTGGTGGTCAGTTTCCTGCGCCTCAAACCTTACACAATCTCAGCTTACTCATCTGTAAAATGGGAGGGCTCCAGCTGGTTCACCGTGTGGGTGTGACAAGCTCAAGTCACGGGTGCACGGGCCAGCGCAGGGCGTGCCCAGCCCTGTCAGCTGCGCGTGCTCGACGCCCGGTGAAGGCCGCAGCGTTTGCAGGGCAAGAGGACATCTCACGGTCACCCCTTTTTCTGCACAGCTCCCATTAACCGCCCCCCCCCCCTCCCAGTAAATGTGCGCACTAAAAAAGAAAAAAAATGGCAGACCGGGGACGAGGCTAACCCCAAAGTCAGGAGATCAGGCCTCGGAGGAATCACAAGCGGTCTGAGTCGGATTCTCAAGCCCTGGCTCTCCTAGGCCGCGGGAGGCACCCTCGAGACCTCCAGGGGCCTGTGAGAAGGGTTTCCGTGGCGCCATGATGGCCGCTCTTCCCACTTCCCACCTCCCGCGGGCTCCTCCGGGCCGTTCTGCCCGGCGTCTCGCTGGTGGAGTCGGCCTCGGAGGGATTTCCTCAGAACCCGCCTCTCTTCCGGCGTCGCTCTTTGCCTTCTCCAATCAGGTTGGAGGAGATGAACCGACACCGGACGAAGAATGGCCTTATTGGACAGCGCTCGTGGGGGCGGGACGAAAATGGAACCGGCGTCAAAGCGGAAGTGGGTCGTCGCACCGTTGATTACGTATTGCCACGGCGGCTGTAGCGGTTCCGCTGGCTGGTGTGCGCGCGGCGAGCGGCTCCCAGTGCGGCTCCCAGTGCGGCTCCCAGTGCGGCCCGCTCGGCTCCTACGTCCGAGACCCCGGCCGCGACTCCCGCCGTGGCTGGGCCGCCGTGCGATCATGGACTCTGCTGGCCAAGGTAGCTGGGGGTCCGGCGCCTCCGCCCTCCCCAGGTCGGCTCTCGGACTCTCGACTCTCCTCCGCTCTTCCCGCGGCCCCTCTCGGCTCCCGGGCGCCCGACCGCCGTGCTTCCCGATCTCCCGATGGTCGTGGCGTGTGTGATCCACTCCCAGCTTGGACCGCCGCGAGGAGGTCCCCAGGCACCTTCCCTGTCCCCGGAGTTTTGGGTGTCCTCCTTCCAGGCAGCGCTCGTTAAAACCCCGCCCGGCGCCGGCGGCCCGCGGAGTCCCTCCGCCTAGCCCTGAGCCGAGGTGGTGTGCGCGGCTCCCGGAGGGGCGGGGAGACGGTCCTCGCGTTCGGCGCAGCGCCCCTCGGGTGGCCTCGCTCTCGGAGCCCAGCCTGCTAGAGGTTGTGTGTGGGAGGGAGGAGCAGTGAGTCAGGGGCACACCCAGTTTACCTGACCTGTTTCCAGACAGACACCCCCAGATCCGTTTGAGAAGGCCGCTGGAGGTGGCGAGGACTCGGGAGATTAAATCTTGAGAAGGCGATAACCAGTTAGTTTATCTCCCATTACGATTCTGTAGCGAGGGGATGCTAAATTTCTATTTATATAACGACACCGGCTAATTGCAGGGTGCTACTGGTTGACCTTATCAGCATACTAATTAGACATAATTTCTGGATTCTGATACTATTCTGTAGGTTTTCCTACTTATGACGTCTATTTATAAAATAATTGAGCGTCAGAAGTTAAGCATCACAAGCATTGGGTTCTGATCATGAGAATGACAGACATTCACTGAGCACCTATGTGCCAAGCACCATAATAAGCCTGCTTCTCAAATGATCTTTTTCTATTTTCAGAGTAACCCTTTGAGATTGGTGCTTGTATTGCTCCCACCTGAGAGGGTTTTACAGGCTTAGAGAACTGGGGCTGGCCTAGGGTAAGGACCCACTGTGTCTCCAGCCCCAAGCCTATTCTCTGTGCTGGCATGTTCAGTGAGTGCCCAGTTTCTACCTCGGGGTGGGGGGTTGACTTCCATGGGTTCAAATTTGCAGAAACTGTCCAAGGGCCGCCGCCTTCTTCCCTTCCTTCCTTTCTTTCTTTCTTTCTTTCTTTCTTTCTTTCTTTCTTTCTTTCTCTCTTTCTCTCTTTCTCTCTTTCTCTCTTTCTCTCTTTCTCTCTTTCTCTCTTTCTCTCTTTCTCTCTTTCTCTCTTTCTCTCTTTCTCTCTTTCTCTCTTTCTCTCTTTCTCTCTTTCTCTCTTTCTCTCTCTCTTTCTCTCTTTCTCTCTTTCTCCTTTTTCTTTTCCTTGTAATAGAAGAGAAACATTTTAGAGATTTTAAGGCATTTACTGAATTTGAGCAGCTTCAATATAGTGGATACAATGATGTAAAACTATGTGGGTTGATACCAGTTAAAATTCAGAATCTGTTGATTTAAAAGTGGATATGCTTTGTTTTATAAATATCTGTTGAGTACCAAGGAGGAGCCCCGCTGGAGCTGTGTGGGTGGGGCATGTGAAGGGAACAGGACAGCTGGCTAAGTGGAGCATCTTTGATTTTAAGTGCCTTCCATCTAATTTTAGCAGATTCTGGCATTTCTACAATAGACAAACACTTTTACTTCTCTCTAAACTTCATGCTTTTAAAAAATATATATATTGCCGAAACTGATTTGGTTCAGTGGATAGAGCGTCAACCTGCGGACTAAAGGATCCCAGGTTTGATTCCGGTCGAGGGCATGTGTCTTGGTTGCGGGCACATCCCCAGTGGGAGGTGTGCAGGAGGCAGCTGATCAATGTCTCTCTCTCATCGATGTTTCTAACTCTCTGTAAAACATCGATGTTTAAAAAAAAAAAAAAATCGATGTTTCTAACTCCCTCTCTGTAAAAAAAAAATCAATAAAATATTTTTTAAAAAAATAAATAATAAATAAAATATATACATGTTCTTATTGATTTTGAGAGAGAAGGGAAGGGATATAGAGATAGAAACATCAATGGGAGAGGAACATTGATCAGCTGCCTCCTGCACACCCTCTACTGGAGATGGAGTCTGCCACCCAGGCATGTGCCCTGACCAAGAATTGACCTTTTGGTTCATTGGTCGACTCTCAGCTGCTGAGCCATGCAAGCCAGGCAATTTCATTTCGTTTTATTTTGTTATTCTTGGTTGTTCTTTTAAAATATATTTTTAAAAATATTTTTTTATTGTTTTCAGAGAGGAAGGGAGAGGGAGAGAAAGAGAGAAACATCAACAATGAGAGAAAATTACCGATCGTCTGTTTCCTGCACACCCTTTACTGGGGATGGAGCCTACAACCCGGGCATGTGCTCTTGACAGGAATTGAACCTGGGACCTTCACGTCTCAGGCCGACACTCTATCCACTAAGCCAAACTGGCTAGGGCTAAAATATTTTTATTGATCTCAGAGAGGAAGGAAAAGAGAGGTAGAAACCTCAATAATGAGAGAGAATCATCAATCGGCTGCCTCCTACATACCCCACATGGAATCAAGCCTGCATTTCAGGCATGTGCCCAGACCTGGATTTGAACCGTGACCTCCTAATTCATAGGTTGACACTCAACTACTGAGTCATGCTGTTCGGGCTCGTTTACTTTTAAAGGGGTAAGACACCAGACAAAGGCTGTTTCATCAAAGAGAAGATGTTCTCAGTGCTGATGATATAAAAGTACTAAATGACAATTATGTGGTCAGAGTAGGAAAGGACTGAAGTAGATCTCATTTTCCTCGTGTGAGATCTTGTAAACTTTCAGTGCAGACAGGAAGATGCGCTTAGTAAGGAAAAGTAGTGGCTGCAGAAATGTGAACCTGATTGGGGTGTAGCGGAGGAGTGTGGAGGCATGCACAGGTCCTTGCTGAGGGGCGAGGTCCAGCGTGGACGGAAGGGCATTTCCATGCTGCTGACTCCCTGCAGGGCTAGGCAGCTGACCTGTGCTCCTGTGTGTAAGTGCAGCATGGGCTTGGGCAGGCCAGGTGCTTGGAAAGTGGTGCTTGTGTTCACAGCCGTATTATGTTCTTTTCCTCCAGAAATGACAGCTGCTAGATTGAGCTGCTTTGTAGCAAAGTGTTCCTGTCTTAGAAGATAGTGTTCTGGCAGGGGAAGCAGAGGAAGGGTATAGCTGCCTTGCCAGGCCCTGAAGCAGCATCTTGGGTGGTCTGGGGTGTGGTTGCCCTCAGTCAGATGGACTAAACATGTTCACACGGCCTTTCAGAGAAGAGGCAGTGTTGGTGCTCACCCCTCCCTGCCACCTGCCTTTTACCCTTTCTTTCTCCTCCATCCTAGCGACTTCTCCGTAACTTCTTACTTGGCACTTTCTGGCCTCGTTTTGTCTCTGGCAGATATCAACCTGAATTCTCCTAACAAAGGTCTGTTGTCCGACTCCATGACGGATGTCCCTGTTGACACGGCAGTGGCTGCCCAGACTCCAGCTGTCGAGGGTCTGACGGAAGCTGAGGAGGAGGAGTTGAGAGCCGAGCTCATGAAGGTTCTGTGTCTTGGCTGGCTGTCCTGGGGTACATGAGGGCAGAGTGCTGGCTGTGCCTGGAGAAACTGCTCTTTGCAGCCCTGGCTGTGTCTGTGCCCAGCCCCTCATGGGTGCACACGGGCAGCTGCTGGCGCACACCACCCACTGGGGGCTTCTCTGTTGGAGTTAACACCTGACATTTTCTTTTTTTTTTTTTTTTTTTTTTTTTTTTTTTTTTTTTTTTTTTTTTTAATCAATCTTTATTGTTCATATTATTACAAAGGTTCCTCATTTCTTCCCCCCTCCACCAGGTTCCCCCCCCACTCTCCATCCCCCCCCATCCCCCATTGTCCTCATCCATAGGTGCAGTTTATGTTCAGTCTCTTCTTCCCTCAATTTCCCCAATAGTAAATCCCTTTTCAGATAGTAAATCAGTTACTTAGCATTTTCTCATATCAATAATACCTCCACATGTCCAATGATACACTTCACACAAAAGACATTTCCCACTAGGTCAACCAGCCTCATCCAGGCCCCACCCAAGGCACTCACAGATCAACACCCCAGTCCTAAACTAACGCAACACATCCAGATCTAAGCCTTCACCACTTCATTCAGCAGACCCTCAAGTTCCCACAAAAGTTTCCAGCCATGTCTGAGAAGCAGCCGTGGGGCAGGGGCAGGCAAGGAGCGAGCTGTTCTGGGCCAGGCTGCTCAGGGCCTGGCCTCTGTTGCTCTGGTTCATTCCACAACCAGCTGCTCCGGGTCTGGTCACTGCCGTTCCCGACCTAGTTGCTCTGGACTTGGCTGCTGCTACTCCGGGCCTGGCCGCTCCCAGCCTGGCAGCCGCTGCTCCGGGCCTGGCCGCACCCGACCCGCCTGCTCCCCCGGGCCTGGCCGCTCCCAGCCTGGCAGCCGCTGCTCCGGGCCTGGCCGCACCCGACCCGCCTGCTCCCCCGGGCCTGGCCGCTCCCAGCATGGCAGCCGCTGCTCCGGGCCTGGCCGCACCAGCCCCGGCTGCTCCCCCGGGCCTGGCCGCTCCCAGCCTGGCAGCCGCTGCTCCGGGCCTGGCCGCACCCGACCCGCCTGCTCCCCCGGTCCTGGCCGCTCCCAGCCTGGCAGCCGCTGCTCCGGGCCTGGCCGCACCCGACCCGCCTGCTCCCCCGGGCCTGGCCGCTCCCAGCCTGGCAGCCGCTGCTCCGGGCCTGGCCGCACCCGACCCGCCTGCTCCCCCGGGCCTGGCCGCTCCCAGCCTGGCAGCCGCTGCTCCGGGCCTGGCCGCACCAGCCCCGCCTGCTCCCCCGGGCCTGGCCGCTCCCAGCCTGGCAGCCGCTGCTCCGGGCCTGGCCGCACCAGCCCCGCCTGCTCCCCCGGGCCTGGCCGCTCCCAGCCTGGCAGCCGCTGCTCCGGGCCTGGCCGCACCAGCCCCGCCTGCTCCCCCGGGCCTGGCCACTCCCAGCCTGGCAGCCGCTGCTCCGGGCCTGGCCGCACCCGACCCGCCTGCTCCCCCGGGCCTGGCCGCTCCCAGCCTGGCAGCCGCTGCTCCGGGCCTGGCCGCACCCGACCCGCCTGCTCCCCCGGGCCTGGCCGCTCCCAGCCTGGCAGCTGCTGCTCCGGGCCTGGCCGCACCAGCCCCGCCTGCTCCCCCGGGCCTGGCCGCTCCCAGCCTGGCAGCCGCTGCTCCGGGCCTGGCCGCACCAGCCCCGCCTGCTCCCCCGGGCCTGGCCGCTCCCAGCCTGGCAGCCGCTGCTCCGGGCCTGGCCGCACCCGACCCGCCTGCTCCCCCGGGCCTGGCCGCTCCCAGCCTGGCAGCCGCTGCTCCGGGCCTGGCCGCACCAGCCCCGCCTGCTCCCCCGGGCCTGGCCGCTCCCAGCCTGGCAGCCGCTGCTCCGGGCCTGGCCGCACCAGCCCCGCCTGCTCCCCCGGGCCTGGCCGCTCCCAGCCTGGCAGCCGCTGCTCCGGGCCTGGCCGCACCAGCCCCGCCTGCTCCCCCGGGCCTGGCCGCTCCCAGCCTGGCAGCCGCTGCTCCGGGCCTGGCCGCACCAGCCCCGCCTGCTCCCCCGGGCCTGGCCGCTCCCAGCCTGGCAGCCGCTGCTCCGGGCCTGGCCGCACCAGCCCCGCCTGCTCCCCCGGGCCTGGCCGCTCCCAGCCTGGCAGCCGCTGCTCCGGGCCTGGCCGCACCAGCCCCGCCTGCTCCCCCGGGCCTGGCCGCTCCCAGCCTGGCAGCCGTTGCTCCGGGCCTGGCCGCACCAGCCCCGCCTGCTCCCCCGGGCCTGGCCGCTCCCAGCCTGGCAGCCGCTGCTCCGGGCCTGGCCGCACCAGCCCCGCCTGCTCCCCCGGGCCTGGCCGCTCCCAGCCTGGCAGCCGCTGCTCCGGGCCTGGCCGCACCCGCCCCGCCTGCTCCCCCGGGCCTGGCCGCTCCCAGCCTGGCAGCCGCTGCTCCGGGCCTGGCCGCACCCGACCCGCCTGCTCCCCCGGGCCTGGCCGCTCCCAGCCTGGCAGCCGCTGCTCCGGGCCTGGCCGCACCAGCCCCGCCTGCTCCCCCGGGCCTGGCCGCTCCCAGCCTGGCAGCCGCTGCTCCGGGCCTGGCCGCACCAGCCCCGCCTGCTCCCCCGGGCCTGGCCGCTCCCAGCCTGGCAGCCGCTGCTCCGGGCCTGGCCGCACCCGACCCGCCTGCTCCCCCGGGCCTGGCCGCTCCCAGCCTGGCAGCCGCTGCTCCGGGCCTGGCCGCACCCGACCCGCCTGCTCCCCCGGGCCTGGCCGCTCCCAGCCTGGCAGCCGCTGCTCCGGGCCTGGCCGCACCAGCCCCGCCTGCTCCCCCGGGCCTGGCCGCTCCCAGCCTGGCAGCCGCTGCTCCGGGCCTGGCCGCACCAGCCCCGCCTGCTCCCCCGGGCCTGGCCGCTCCCAGCCTGGCAGCCGCTGCTCCGGGCCTGGCCGCACCCGACCCGCCTGCTCCCCCGGGCCTGGCCGCTCCCAGCCTGGCAGCCGCTGCTCCGGGCCTGGCCGCACCAGCCCCGCCTGCTCCCCCGGGCCTGGCCGCTCCCAGCCTGGCAGCCGCTGCTCCGGGCCTGGCCGCACCAGCCCCGCCTGCTCCCCCGGGCCTGGCCGCTCCCAGCCTGGCAGCCGCTGCTCCGGGCCTGGCCGCACCAGCCCCGCCTGCTCCCCCGGGCCTGGCCGCTCCCAGCCTGGCAGCCGCTGCTCCGGGCCTGGCCGCACCAGCCCCGCCTGCTCCCCCGGGCCTGGCCGCTCCCAGCCTGGCAGCCGCTGCTCCGGGCCTGGCCGCTCCCAGCCTGGCAGCCGCTGCTCCGGGCCTGGCCGCACCCGACCCGCCTGCTCCCCCGGGCCTGGCCGCTCCCAGCCTGGCAGCTGCTGCTCCGGGCCTGGCCGCACCTGACCCGGCTGCTCTGGACCCGGCTGCCCCGGGCCCGGCCGCTCCGAGCCTGGCCACTGCCGACCTGGATGCTCTGGGCTTGGCTATTGCTGTTCTGGGTCTGGCTGCTCCCACCTCGGCTGCTCTGGGCCCGGCTTCTTCGGGCCCGGCCACTCCGGGTCTGGGTGTTCCTGGACTGGCCACCCTGGGCTTGGCCGCCTCCGCCTCATGCCTGGCTGCCACTGCCCCAGGTCTGGCTACTCCAGTGCTGGCTGTTGATGCTCTGGTTCTGGCTGCTGTTGTTCTGGGGCCTGGCCGTTGCTGCTCCGGGTCTGGCTGCCACTGCCTTGTGCCTGGCCACTCTAGGCCTGGCCGTCGCTGTTCCAACATTCTGTCCTTTTTTTTTCTTTTTAAAACGCATTTATGTTGCAATGTTGGCTGGTGAGTTGAGTTCTGACTTAGTCTTTGATTTTTCAAGATCTTCTTTGTATTCTTACTTAAGTAATTTTACTATTTTTTGCTCTCACTTGATTTCTTCACATTGAGAACTTCTTTGGTTTCTTCCTCCTTGTCCTGGGAGCTCAGCAGGTTGGCCTGTGGCACCCCTTTGTTCTCCGCGGGCTCCTGCGCTGCTTCAGCCTGTTGCCGGGACGGCGCCGCCCAGGAAGCAGCCCCCGGCCTTGGCTCCATTGCCCGAGCTCAGTGGTCAAAGGCTCAGGGGCACCCAGGCCCCCAGGGGCCTCGTGGCCCGCCTCCTTGCTGGTGCCCGGTTGGCTGGAGTCCGGCAGGGGCTTCCGCTCCCCTCCGTGTTCCCCCAGCCTAGAGCTTTTTTTTTCTCCTTCCCGCTAGGGAAGTCCAGCATCAGAGTCAACAGACTGTCCTCTACGAGCAGTTTGTGCGAGTCCCACAGACTGTCCTCTGCGCGCAGTTTGCGCGAGTCCCACAGACTGTCCTCTGCGCGCAGTTTGCGCGAGTCCCGGGGGCCTGGCCTTTCGCCGCTCTCCCCGGACTCCACCTCACAGCCCCGTCTCCCTCTGCCTGAGCCTGGGTCCCCAGGGATTAGCCCAGAACTGGGGTTCGGAGCAGTCTGGACTGAGGCTCAGCGCCGCCGGAGGCCTTGTTTCTTCCGGCTAGGGCAACCCAGCATCAGAGTCAACATTCAGTCCTCTGCGCGCATTGCGCGCGACTCCCGGGGCCCTGCCTTTTGCCATTTTTCCGCCTCACGTCCCTGTCTCCTCCCGCCGGAGCCTGGGTCCCCAGGGTCTGGCCCATAACTGGGGCTCAGCGCTGCCGGTTCGGGGGGGCTCAGCGCTGCCGGTTCGGGGGTTCAGCCCAGGCTGGAGGTTTTATTTCCTTCCTGCTAGGGAAGGAAAGGCGGCTCCCCGCCCTCTCCTCCTCTCCGGCTGCGACCTCTCCGTGCGCGCGTGCGGGCAGGCAGGCGCGCGCAGCATGTCTCCGTACCTTAGGCTTTTTTTCAGCTCCTCTGATTTTCTTTCTGGTTTTCTCTTTCCTTCTTGTTGTAGAAATTTCAGTCAGTCGACTACCTGTAGCTCTGGGCAATGTCCACTCTACATTTTAGTTGTATTCCATTGAAATTGTTGTGTGCTGCCGCGGCTAGATGTCTACCCGAGCAGCCATCTTCAACACCTGACATTTTCAAGACGCCACAATCTTATTGCCCTGGATCCTTTTTTTTTTTTTTTTTTTTTTAAATATATTTTATTGATTTTTTTTTTTTGCCCCCTCTCTCCCATACATGCCCTCCCTCCCCAGAGTTTTATGTCCATTGGTTGTACTTATATGCATGTATACAAGTCCTTCGGTTGATCTTCCCCAAATCTCCCTCCCCTCCCCGCTGTAGTTTGACAATCTGCTTGTTGCTTTACTGTCTCTATATCTATCTTTTGGTTCATCAGTTTATAATGTTCTTTATTATCCATAAATGAGTGAGGTCATGTGGTGTTTCTCTTTCATTGATTAGCTTATTTAACTCAGCATGATGTTCTCCAATTCCATCCAGGTTGCTGCAAATGATAAGAATTCCTTCTTTTTTATGGCAGCATAGTATTCCATTAGATGTACCATAGTTTTTTGATCCAATCATCTGCTGACGGGCACCTAGGCTGTTTCCAAATTGCCCCTGGATCTTAATTTCTCTTTCAAAAACACCTTTTTGTAAAAAATACTTAATGTGATCTTTTTAAAGTGAAAGTCCTTTAAGAGAAAATAGGAATTAAGAACAAAAGCCTTTAAATTTAATTTTTATTCATACCCACTAACAAAGAGTTTCTTTTCTCTGTGTGATGCAGTCTGACAGTGACTCGGTTGATATTCCAGAGTCTGGGAAATGGTCTTGTGAATATCTGACTTTGTTTGTCACAGGCCTCTGCTGTCTCCAGAGACAAGCCCCATCTTAATGCATCCCCGCCCCGTCCGAGGTCTGAACAGAGCTGGTTGTGCAGACCGGTCTCAGCCAGGACCAGGTTTCAGATCACAGGAAAGCATGTGGCTGTTTCTGAATTGAACAGCGGTTAAGAGAGAAGCAGTAAGAAGTCCAAGGACATATATGCTTTGTATTTTACTTCAAATATGTTGGCATTGAGACTAAGCCACCAGGTCTTTTTCAGAGTTGGATTGCAGAGTAGAGTCACTCTTATGTTACTTAAAACTTTAAACTTGCATGTTCCAGGACAATATGACCATGTGCTTCAGAGCCCTCTTTGTCATGACACCAGTGGAGTCTTCTGGTCACTGGTTGTAACTGATTGAGTGACTGGTAATAGTCTGGCCTTAGATGATACTGTGTTTTTAAATTATTGTTTCAACTATTTTCTAAAGCAGAATATAGGGCTCTACATACACTGTTTTTAGTGCCTTAATCCAAACAAGCACATTTTTATTTTTAAAAAAATACATTTTATTGATTTTTTACAGAGAAGAAGGGAGAAGGATAGAGAGTTAGAAATATCGATGAGAGAGAAACTTTAATCACCTGCCTCCTGTACACCCCCTACCACGGATGTGCCCACAACCAAGGTACATGCCCTTGACTGGAATCAAACCTGGGACCCTTGAGTCCACAGACCAACGCACTGTCCATTGAGCCAAACCAGTCAGGGCAAACAAGCACTTTTTAAAGGAAGGGACTGTTCACATAGGAGCTGGAAATGCTGAGAACTCTAGTAAGGTTCTAATGGATGTTTCCTTCTCGTGTTACTTTTTTTTTTCTTTTTTAGAAAATACTTTCATTGAATTTTTAGAGAGAGAGGAAGGGAGAGGGAGAGACAGAAACAATGTGAGAGCTGCCTCCTTCACAACCCCCACTGGGGATCAAGCCCACAGTCTGCACAGGTACCCTGATGGGAATTTTACCAGCAACCTCTTGGGATGGGGACGACACCGAACCGAACCACACTGGCCTGGGCTTTTTTTCCCTTCCCTTTTTAAGGATTTGAGGAGGTTCAGGATCCTTGAACACAAAGTGAATTTACTTTTGGCTTGTGGAACTGGCTATTGCCAAGGCCTGGAGCTGACCTCAGGAGCACAGATACTGTGATTGGGCTGGTTCATGTCACCTGGGTTTCTGGCCATCTGTCTGCTCCGCTTCCTTCCTGCTGCATAAGGAGCTCCCCTGCCCCCATGCAAATGGGGCTGGCTGCCAGATGTTCTAGCCTCTGCTGTCCAAGCCCGGAGTCAAGGCCCAGAGGAAAGAGGGCTTCTCTCCTCCGACCCTGTGCCTGGCCCAGGGCAGAGCTCTGGGAAGCCTTTCTCAATCTCTCCCTGGTTGGCATGGTGATCGGTGGCCCTAACAGAGCCACTTGGCTTGGGGTGAGACAGTTGTGCAGAAGTTGTATTGGTAGCAGACAAAAACATGCCTGCTAGTGACGCTATCTCTGAGCTGTGCTAGGTTTCGGTAAGGGGACAGTTCTTAGGTAACTGAGAACCCCGTATCGCATTATATGAGAATGTCAATCACTTCCTGCGAGAGTGGAGCTAATCATGTCAACTTCGTGCTTGTGCAGGTGGAAGAGGAAATTGTCACTCTGCGCCAGGTCCTGGCGGCCAAGGAGAGGCGCTGCGGAGAGCTGAGGAGGAAACTGGGCCCCTCTGCTTCGGAGGGCCTGAGGCAGAGCCTGTCCAGGAGCTGGCGCGACGTGCAGGTCTCGAGCGCGTAGGTGCTGCTCTGCGGCAGGGCGCCCCGGTGTTTGGAGAGCGAAGCACAGCGTGGTGCCTCTGTCCTGTCGATGGGGTGTTAGTTCTTGAGGACTAGGTGCCTCCCAGGAACGGGGACCAAATGCGCCTGTTTGGAAGCAGCCAGCCAGGAGCCTTGCGACCTTGACCTAGCAACTGTGCTCCCATTTACTCAGCTCAGTCAGATGTTTTGTAAAAGGTGGATGGACACAGCTAGTTGTCCAAGTGGAAATAGACAAGAATATGTGTCGAGTCCAAATTTGAGAGCACACGAATGAGGTCCTTGATGAGACTGACCCTGCTGTGGTCCCCAGAGCGGAGCGTCTGCTCTGGTGGACACGAATCCTTATGAGGTGTGATCGGCCGAGGCCACTCACAGATGTGCTCAGCTCTGACCTCAGGCGGCGCGGCCCTGTGGCTCCTCAGTGACCCTCCGAGGTGAAGAGCGCCTTCCCCTGTCTGAAAGGCCTTCCCCACAGAGAGGCAGAGTCACTCTCCATAAGTCTCACCTGGAAAAACCCCGTTTCTGTCTTAGGAAATGATAGGTTCTGGACCTCAAAGGGTGGCTGCCACTAGTGTTTTGGGGCCACAAGCTGCCCTTCCTGCCCTCACAGCAGTGCTCCCCAAGAGCCATCATCCATTGAATGACCCAGGCACTCCCTCGGCCTGATGGGAAAGAACTAGTCTGTTCTGCTGTCGCTTCCCCTGGCCCCACCGGGGCGGCATAGCAGGTGCTAAGCAGAAGCCGCGGCCCTGTCCTCTGTTCGCGGACTGTCTGCTCCTGCCAGTCCGTGCTCCGTTGGCCCTGGAATTTCACTTGCAGGTTGAAACCAGAGTTGAAAGTTTTTCTAAACAATTCACCACAGACTTTCTGTTTTTAGCTATGTGAAAACGTCTGAGAAACTTGGAGAGTGGAATGAGAGAATGACCCAGTCGGACCTGTGAGTGCCTTTGCCATCAGCACCTCCCTCCCCTCTCCTCTCAACACACCTTTCAGGGGAAAGCGAGCTGTGTACACTGGGCTCAAACCTCACTGATTTCCTGGCTCCTTTTCATAACGTTTTTCCCCCTCTTAAACACGAATGAAACGACCCTTCATTCACGTGGCCACCAAACCACACAGAACACACCTCTTTGCCTGGCACCACCCATTAAAGAAGAGCCTTGGGCCCTAGCCAGTGTGGCTCAGTGGATAGAGCGTTGGCCTGTGGACTGAAGGGTCCCAGGTTTGGTTCCGGTCAGGGGCACATGCCCGGGTTGTGGGCTCGATACCCAGTGGGGGGTGTGCAGGAGGCAGCCATTCGGTTTTTTTCTCTGACCATTGATGTTTCTACCTCTCTCTCCCTCTTCCTCTCTGACATCAATAAAAATATATTTAAAAAAGTGCCTCTGGATGGCCAGCAGCCTCTCTCCTCAGAGACTCCTCAGCTTTCAAAGTGGGGATGTGGCTGATAGCATCCGCATCAATGTAGATGGTGGCTTTTTTTTTTTTTTTTTTTTGGTCCTGCTTCCTTCCCCTGCAGACCTCGTTTCAGCTGCAGGGCCTGTGGAGCTTCACTAGTTCTTAAGGGTTCTTCAAGTCAGGGTTGGTGTAGGCCGTGCCTGTGGGTTCCTGAAGGAGTCCCTTGGCCTGAGAGGCTCCGAGCTGTGAGCCACACAGAAGCAGCAGTGCAGGATACAGGGTAGAGCTCTGGTTGGAATCATGGTGATGTTCTGAGATCCTTCGACGAGATAATAGAACTTCATCAGATCATAACTCTTCAAACCTTGTGGGGCAGTGTTTAAGAACGGCCACTTTCTGGTGTTTTTCTGTCTTGTTTAGACGGAAGTGCTGTCATGGTTGCCAGCAGAAAGCCCGTCCGTGTTGGGCTGAAAGAAAACAGTTGCTACCCAGCTTCTGGAAGTGCCTGAGACCCCATGTGGGGCCTCTGCAGCCTGGTGTGCCCAAGGGCCTCTGACTGTGCCTGTTTTCTGCTGTTTGTGCAGTTTGATAGACCGCTGGCTGTGGCGGTGGGTGTTGTAGCTGCGGGCAGGATTCGGCGATACTGACGGGTCCACTCAGTGGTTGTCAGCAGATCACTCGGTGCAGACTTCCTCAGGAAATTGCCTTTGGAGACTTCGGTGCTGCTCTAAAACCAGCCAACACCCCGTTTCCAATAACTGCAACACTCACTCCGGGAGAGGAGCCCATGGCTCTGGGCGTGGACATGTGGCCAGCAGCCTGGCCTTGCCGTGCATTTCACCAGGCAGTGCCGTTCTCCCGAAGTTTCGCGCTGGTTCTGTTGGTGGGAAAGTTCTCAGATGCTTCCAGGCTGAAGGCTTTTCTAAACAGTTCCCCACAGCCTGTTTTTAGCTATGTGAAAACTTCTGCAGGGACCGCCCAGGAGGAGGGCCACAGGCCTGGGTGCTTGGCCGGAGCCCCCATGGCGTCACTACAAGATAGCTGGCCCAGTGTCCGAGGGGCAAATGCAATGTGGTGAGCCCATCTCCTCAACTGTGGGTCCTGCTCATGGAACCGTGCTGGAAGGAAGCAGTTTAAGTGCTAGTGATCTTGTCAGCCAACTCCACACCTTCTTTTCCCCCCTTTTTAAACATTTTTATGGGTTTCAGAGAGGAAGGGAGAGGGAGAGATAGAAACATCAGTGATAATTGGCTGCTTCCTGCACCCATGTGCCCTGACTGAGAATCGAACCGTGACCTCCTGGTTCATGGGTCAACACTCAACCACTGAGCCATGCCTGCTAGGCCTTTTTTTTTTTTCTTTCAAGTTCATCCAACGAATGAATTGATTTTATCATACACAACCTAACCCCCCAGCCCTAGTAGCTTAAGTGGAAGTGATACAGTGCTTAGCGTGACGCTGGGGTGTCCGGGCGTGCTTCACTCCAGGGCCTATGGGTTTCTGATATGCTCTTGGCTACAGACAAAGGGACAGATGGAATATAAGACAGGAGAACCATGCCGAGACTGGTTTGGCTCAGTGGATAGGTCCCTGCAGACTGAAAGGTCCTGGGTTCGATTCCAGTCGGGGGCATGTACCTTGGTTGCGGGCACATCCCCACTAGGGGGTGTGCAAGAGGCAGCCGATTGATGTCTCTGTCTCATCTACGTTTCTGGCTCTCTATCCCTCTCTCTTCCTCTCTGTAAGAAATCAATAAAATATATTTAAAAAAAAAAAGACGGAACCGTCAACCCTATTGGCACGTGATACAAAGACCAGACACTAGACTAAGGGCGCATTCTCGGGTTAGGCCCTTCTTTAAAAATATTTTTTTATTGATTTAAGAGAGGAAGAGAGGGAGAGAGAAACATCATTGATGAGAGAATCATTGGTTGGCTGCCTTCTGCATGCTCCACACTGGGGATCAAGCCTGCAACCCACGCATGTGCCCTGACCAGGAATCAAGCTGTGACCTCCTGGTTCGTAGGTCGACTCCCAATCCGAGTTGAGCCAGCTGAGCCATTGAATTCCTTTTATAGGTAGATTTTAAATGACGCCGAACTGAGGGCGCCACGGGAATCCCGCAGTCCCGAGTTAACTCAGTATTGTCACTATGTTGGTTTTTTCGGTTGCAGATAGAAAGCACAGCCAAAGACTCCGTCTCAGGGTGGGGAGGTCTTGCCTGTCTAGAAGCCCCTGTTCCAGGCCCACCAGCAGGCTCCCGCGGAGCTCTGGGGCCTTCCGCTCTCCCCGCAGTGGCTTTGTTCTCAGCTCCTCCTCCGTGTGAGGGGGCTCCCTGCCCACTGTGGGTCTCATGGGTTCTTGCTGTGGCCAGGAGCCGGGGTCTCTGGCCAGACCTGAACTACCTGCCCATCCTTGTTGGGGATGGGGTAACCTCCAAGGGAAGGTGCCCAGAGGAGGCTGGTATTTTTCGGGACTCTACACCAAGTTTTCCTAAAAGGTGGAGGGATTCCCAAAGTGAGCGCAGGGCTGCATAGACAAGCGTGCAAGCATAGTGGGGTGACTTACCTGATTCAGACTCTGGCTCTGCCCCAGGCCTGTCCCATTGGTCTCTGATGGGTGGTGTCCTTGGAGTCGCCCACAGGATGTCCTCATCACCAAAGACTCGAAGTGCAGGCCCACGCTTTTCTTTTGGGCTTCACTTTCCCAGCTTCGCCTCATGAGCACAAATAGAGGTTTGTAAGGCTCTCTTATTTTTTACCAGAGGCCCGGTGCATGAGTTTGTGCACGGGTGGAGGCCCTTGGTGTGGCCTGCAGAAATCAGGCTCCAGCCTCACAGCCCTGCAGCCCCGCCTTGGCCTGGCGCCACCCCCTCACCTGCTCCACCATCCCGCTGTCCGCTGCCAGCACCACATCACTGATGCCCATCAAGTTCTGTGCCGCCCCCCCTGGTGGTCAGCACACATCATAAAGAGTGGTCAAATGAATGCCCAAAGGAACAATTTGCATATTAGGCTTTTATTATATAGGATTTCTGATTTTTAAAAAATATTTTTATTGATTTCAGAGAGGAAGGGAGAGGATGACAGAGACAGAAACATCAGTGATGAGAGAGAATCATTGATCAGCTGCCTCCTGCACGCCCCACACTGGGGATCGAGTCTGCAACCTGGGCTTGTGCCCTTGACTGGAATTGAACCCAGCACTCTTCAGTCCACATGCCAATGCTCTATCCATTGAGCCACACCAGCCAGACCAGGCTCTTCTTTAAAACCTCAGGTGCTGGCACTGTCCTCCACACTCGCTGTATGGGAAAAGGCTGGGCTGGGGATGTCTGCTGGATTTGTAAAGAGGTGGTGTGTCCTTTGTCCCCTTGTACCTGGGGTTTTTGAGTGTCGTGGTTCTGGTGCGGAAGTCTGTTTCTTGCAGGTAATATGTGAACTCCTTTGAAATGAAAGCACTTCCTTAGGTGAGCCCTGAGTTGGGGGTGCTCAGGCAGGCACTGTGAGTTGTGCCCCAAAGAAGCTCTCAAGCCATTCCTCCACCGGCTGTGCTGGGAGCTGCTGCCCGCCTGCCCTACCTGTTGCTTCGCCTGGGTTGCCAGTCTTAGTGGGCGCTGAGGCAGGTCTTGGTGTGGGTCGCAGCTCCAGGCAAAGATGCTGTCAGGTTTGAGGGTGGTGGCTGCCCCTTGTGTTAGTTGGGTAACTGTGCTTCTTCCTCCAGCTACAAGAGGACTCAAGAGACTCTCTCTCAGGCGGGACAGAAGACGTCAGCTGCCTTGTCCACCGTGGGCTCTGCCATCAGCAGGAAGCTCGGGGACATGAGGTAAGAGACTCCCCTCCCCCAACCTCTCCATCCTGAGGCCTGGACTAGTCAGCTGAGGTTTTCAGGCTTTTCGATCTCTTAGAGGTTCTGTGGGGAGCCTGCTGAGCCCCAGGGCTCAGGTGCACATGCCTCAGCAGCCCCTCAGCGACCACAGGTGTGGCCACGCCAGCCCCCAGCCAGTCAGTTTGTGACCTTCATTTGCAGCGTGTGTCTGCTCCCGCTGGCTGCCTCTTTGCTTTTTTATATTGCTCAGGGGCGTGTGGTCACTGTGCCTGTGGCTAACTTCTGATCATTGGGATCGGGTGAAAGCTGGTGCTTCTCTTGGAAGTTCCGTGGGGAGAATGACTACAGCCTAGAGGGCAGCATCTGGTGGGCGCCTGGCAGGACAGGTCCAGGACGAGCTCGGTATCTCCTCAGAGTGTGTGATCAGGTATCAGTCAGTGTGGCCACAGGCAGGGCCCCAACAGAATGTTCTCCCTCATAGCCACCAAAGGTGCTTCTTGCAAAGGACCTGGGGCCAGGGAGGGAGTGCGGAGCGGCTCAGGCACGTGGTGACTGCTGGGCAGCATCCATCCTAGCCTGTTGGCTGTGCCCTCTGCCACCTGGTCTCTGGGCCGAGGAGCAGAGGCCAGGGTGTGGATTCTGGCTCAGCTGCCCCTGCCGTGCCCTTGGCAAGGCCTCTCTCTAGAAGTTGTTAGGACAAGATATGCATCACTGAGCCATCGCCCGCGCTCTTGGTCTGACCCCACACTTGGGACCAGGCCCCTCACTTCTTCATTTCAGGGAATGCCTCCCTGTAGCCCCCATCCCATCCTGAGAGAAACACTGGCTGTTGTTGCCCGTGGGTTTGGTGTTTTGAGTGTGGCATTGGCTCTCCACCGCGCTCTGACCCCTCCTCTCTGCCCTGCTCGGGTTGGGCATTTCCCTGGCTCACAGACCTGCAGGTGCCAGTTAGCAAGAGGTGAAGACAGATGCAACAACCCGGGACCCAGCCCAGCAGAGGGCAACTTGTGCCAGAGCCCTGCTCACTTGTTTGTTTGTTTTTTGTTAGTCCTCACCCGAGCATGTTTTTCCCCCAGTGGTTTTTAGAGAGTGGAAGGAAGGGAGGGAGAGAGAAATGTTGATGTGAAAGAGACACATTGATTGGTTGCCTCCCACACACATCCCAACTGCAGGGCCAGGGATTGAAACTGCAACCCAGGTATGTGCCCTGATCAGGAATCAAACCCATAACCCTTGGGCATCAGGCTGACATTCTATCCATTGAGCCACACCAGCCAGGGCTCTGCTCACCTTTTATTTCTATTTGTTATAATGTTCCTTCTCCAACTTTATTTTGAAAAATTTCCAACTTCTGGAGAAGCTCAGTAACTGTAGGCAATCTGTGTGTTCCTCCCGTGCCTGGACTGCACCGCCCCACCCTGGGTCCTGGCTGCTTTTGGCAGTGGGGGTCCCTGCGGGATGCTCTACAATGCACGCCTTGCCTGCCGTGGACTCCCCCCGCTTCGGCTCTGCACACTGAGCTGCTAGGACTTGCCTGGGTATGTTCCTGTAAGGAGACCCGTTTGAAATTAGATGGGACACCGGCACTGCTGCATTCTGGGATGCCTGCTTTGGCCACCTGAGCCGTGCTGTGGTAAGCCCGGTGATGGAATTTTATTGCCCCTGGTGACTTGGCCGTACCCCCAGGGCCTGCCGAGGAGCTGGCCCTCCCAGGGCCCTGGAATGAGCAGCAGGCCAGGTCTGCCTAAGCGGTGTGGTCACAGCATTGAGGGAGCAGTAGGAATCTGCTGCATGCGTGCGCCTCTGCTGGCTTGTGCTTCTCTCCCCCGTGCGTGTGTTCGTGGCGTCCTGGGGGATGTGGGGGGGGGGGGGCGGTAGGCCGCTTCCATGGCAGTTGTGCACACTGCTGCTCTGGGAGGACTGCACGTCCTTTGTCTGCTCCGAGAACCGGGATTGGCCACTAACCTGTGGCATGGCCAGCAGGGAGCAGGCTTCTGGTCACAGTGACGCCGGGATGGCCTGCACATGGTGACCGCACTGTACCTGCCACTTGTGCAGTTTGAACATGCGCTGTGTGCGCCTGGGGCAACGGGGTCGGGGAGGAGAGCAGGTTGAGTTTAAGATGCTTAGAGGGATTGACCTGGTGTGTCTCACCCTGGAGACATCTGTATTCCAGTGGTGCTGTGAGCACTGGCCGCTCAGGGTTTCTTTCTTTCTTTTTTCTTTCTTTCTTTTTTTTAAAATATATATTTTATTGAGTTTTTACAGAGAGGAAGAGAGAGGGATAGAGCATTAGAAACATCAATCAGCTGCCCCTTGCACACCTCCCATTGGGGATTTGCCCGCAACCAAGGTACATGCCCTTGACCAGAATCGAACCTGGGACCCTTCAGTCTGCAGGCCTACGCTCTATGCACTGAGCCACACCGGTTTTGGCTGGCCGCTCAGGGTTTCTGATGTGTCCCTGTTGTCTTGCTATGTGGTCTCAGGTGGTTGAGACTGAGGCCCATTAACTTCCCCAGCTTAGAGTTTGAGGTTGCAAGTTCACCACTTCTTGCATGAAAGGTTTAGAGAGGTTTGCACCATGAGTTTGGGGCTAGGTGATCCCTCATGGGCCACTGCATTGAGGTGTTCAGGGACAGGTCCCTCAGGAAGCAGCTCTGTGCTGGAGTCCCCAGTGCACTGTCCAGGAGCAGCCCTGTCTGGCCTTTTGCATGCCCTGGGTGTGAGGTGTGGGCATGGGAAAGGGTCTCTACCTTCTCTGACACTAGCTCTCCACCCACAGAGAGGAGCAAGCCCTCCTGCCCACCGAGTGGTAGGAACACATCAGGCCCTGTTACTGCACACGTCTTGCTTCCAAAATGACCTCCATGTCCTTCCTGGGCCCCATCTGTGGACGCATGCTCATCTCTGGGATGGCTTCCGTTACCCATGGCGATGGACCCAGAGTGCAGGGGACTCGGCCTGAGAGTGCCAGGTCCTGTCGCAGTGGGTGCTGTTTGCGTGTGCAGCGTGTCACCAGGCATGGCTGGCTCCTCCAGGTGGCGGAACCCAGTGGGCGTATCTCACACCTCTGCACTGCTCCACTCTTCAGGGCTTTTCCTTCCAGCCTCTGCATGGGTACAGGCACATGGGTCCCTTGTGCGTGATCGTATCCAGGAAAGCAAGAGCTATGGGGCTGGGCAGTTTGCAGCTGTGTGCGTGAGGGAGCAGCAGCCTCCTGGAGTTGGGACTTGGGAGACGAGGTGGAGGCAGGGCGCATGTGCTGTCCTGCCAGGCAGTGTCCAGACCAGAGGGTGGCTCTTGAGCTAAGTGCAGGGGCAGGTTGGACATTGGCCTTCTTTCCTAACATTCGTTTCTTCTCTCTTCCTGCTGCCAACTGTCAGGGCGCGTCCTTTCTCACAGTCCTTTAGGTAAGACTGATGCTGGACACATCTTCTCTGCTTCAGGCCAGGTGGGCTCTGCCAGCCTGTGGGAGGCTGTTCTAGACAAAGGTGGTGAGGGGCCCGAACTGCCCTGTGCGGCCCCTGGCCAGCACAGTGAGGCCAGCACTGCTCCGGAGCACACTGGTTTCTCCAGCTATGGTCCCTGAGGGGTCGTCACTGGCCATATGGTCAGTGCAGGGATGCCTCCCCAACAAAGACATGCTCCTACCTGGGCACTCTTTTTAAAAAAATAGATTTTATTGTTTTGTTTTTTTTTACAGAGAGGAAGGGAGAGGGATAGAGAGAAACATCGATGAGAGAGAATTATTGATCAGCTGCCTCCTGCACACCCCCAACTGGTGATGTGCCTGCAACCAAGATACATGCCCTTCACCGGAATCGAACCCAGGCTGACGCTCATCCACTGAGCCAAACCGGTTTCGGTCTACCTGGGCATTCTTGCTGGCCTCCTCCAACCAACAACAGAGTGTCCATCTAAGTCCTTCGTGCGTCGGCGTTGTTCCTCCTTCAGCTCCCCTCCCCCCAGTTTAGTCCCCAAAAGAGCCATGTTCACGTAGGACTACGTGACTGACCTTGGGCTGCCGTGCTTCCTGCATCTTGTTTCCCTTGTGATTGTTTTTCAGTATGTTTTTATCGATGTCAGAGAGAGGAAGAGAGAGAGAGAAGCATCAATGATGAGAGAGAACCATCCATCAGCTCCTCTTGCGTGCCCCCTACTGGGGGTCGAGCTTGCAACCTGGGCCTGGGCCCTTACTGGGTGGGAATTGAACCCGGGCCTCTTGGTTCGTGGGTGGATGCTCAACCACAGAGCCACGCCATCAGGGCGAGTTTCCCTCATTTATGACTCGAGGGCCCTCTGCACCAGCGCAGCACGAAGCCCAGTCAGTGTTGTTGGCAACTCTCGGTGCCTCCGGCACTCGGAAGTCACGCTCTTCTGGACCCCAGTCCAGAACTCTGACCGCGTGCTTTCCACCTGAAGCGCTTGGGCTTGTTGTTTCTCTTTTTCTGAAGTCTTTGACTTGCTGTGAAGTAAGGAAGGACATCTGACGACCATTTGTCCAAAGCTTGTCTAGTGCCTCAGTCTGAGGTCTCCATCAGCAGTGTCGCCCCTCAGGAGTGACTGGAGCGGGGAGAGGAGCTGTGGGTCGAGATTTCCTCTGGTGAGGGGCCTTACCAGGCTTTGTGCTCCTTCCAGTTGTGCGGGGGGAGGGTCCTGCCATTCTGCTGCAAAGGTGGGCTTCTCCGTGGTCTGGGCAGAGGAACCGTGAGTGCTGATCTGTCCTCACCCTAACTTGCTTCCTTCTCTGCTTCTGCCATGCTCGCAAGCAGCAGCTACTCCATCCGCCACTCAAAAAGTATGCCAGCCATGAGGTAATGTGTGCTCTCACCTGGAGCCCCCAGAGTCGGGGCGGGGGGAGGGAGCACACGGCTTCCCATGCCTCTAAACGGATTGGGGTTGGAAAGACCCATCTGAGACCAAAGAACTAGTGGGGGTGTGCCAACGGGGCTCCGTCTGGAATTTTCCAGGACTGCCTGCAGGGTTCGGCTAGGGAAGGGCAGAGGCTCCCACACCTACCTGGCATCCAAGAGGCAGCAGGTGTCTCCAAGTCATCTTTATTTTATTTTTTTCCAGAGAGGAAGGAAGAGACATAGAAACATAAATGGTGAGAGAGATTCCTGGATCAGCTGCCTCTTGGCATGCTCCCTACTGGAGGTCAAGCCCACATCCTGGCATGTGCCCTTGACCGGAATCAAGCCAGGGACCCTTCAGTGCGCAGGCCAGTACTCTATCCACTGAACCACACCAGCTAGAGCTCTCCACGTCTTTTTTTTTTTTTTTTAATATATTTTATTGATTTTTTACAGAGAGGAAGGGAGAGGGATAGAGAGCTAGAAACGTCAATGAGAGAGAATCATCGACCAGCTGCCTCTCACACCCCCCCCCACCGGGGATGTGCCCACAACTAGCGTACATGCCCTTGACTGGAATCAAACCTGGGACCTTTCAGTCTGCAGGCCAACGCTCTACCACTGAGCCAAACCAGTTTCGGCTCCGAGTCTTTTTATGGAGACATTTTATCTGCTTTGTGGCCAGTTTTCTCCCGCTAGCTCTGCAGTGCAGCCATGGCTCTCAGCGGAGCCCCATCCTTGTTACCAGACTAGCAGCTGCCTCACCACAGAGCTGGCTGGGAGTCCTTGATGGGTGGGTGGTCTGCAGAGCCCAGGGCTCTGAGCAGTAAGGGGAGCTGGGTCAGACCAGGCCAGCTTGCTCCTGCAGCCTCCTTACCACCCTCTTTTCCCAGAATGCCTCGGTTTTTTCCTGGCTTCGTTCTAAGAGATGAGTGTGAACACACACACAACTTTCCTAACCCCAGCACGGGTGCATTTACCAGTAGGGTGGAGCAGAGGCGAGCCCCGTGTTCACCCGCTGCCCAGGGCTCTGCAGCTCACCCATGTCAAGTCTGGGTCTCACCAGCTGGTAGCATTTAGATCTCTGTCCCTGTGGCTGGTGAGCGTGGCTGACCCGGTTCTGACCTGGTGCCACCTCTGGGGTGACCTTGACTGGGTTCTCTGCAGGGGGTACCCCTCCCCTCCTGTCTAGTCACGTCTTTGCAGTGAAACCTCAGGATGTACTTTAGGGTTTTTCTGGAGGAAAGCCCTAATCCTGAGGCCCTTCAAGTTCAGGATGCCGCACAGCTGTGGGCTCCTCACACTGACTGCTTCCTCTCTCTTTGAAGGAATTCTGCCACCTTCAAGTCACTTGAAGACCGAGTTGGGACCATCAAGGTAACTACCTGGATCGTTTGCTTCTCCTGATGGGTGGGACTTGTCAGGTAGACTGACTGAATCATTGCAGACTCTCAGGCAGTTAAGGGAGCTAACACGGAAGCCCTGTTCCTTCCGTCCTTACCCCAGAACCAACACTGCCATGTCCCCGCCAGGATGTGACATGGGCCCATCAGGGCAGAGAGCAGTTCCTTCCTTACAGGCCCTCACGGTGCCTGCCCTCCACCCGCCCTGCCCACATCACTGGTCTCTGCTCCGTTTGTCACTTTGTGATCCCAGAAAGTCATAAGTGGGGCCGTGGGTGCGCTGCAGCATTCCCTGGAGATGCTCCGAGCCTGTTGCCGTGTCCGTGGTGTGTTCTCTTGTGCAGTCAGTGTTCATAGCTTGTGAACTCGTGCAGAGAATTGAACACCGTGAGTTCCAGGGCTGCCTGGCACTGTGGGCTCTGTCTCAGGTTGTTCCTTCCGGTCTTTTCCCATCTGTAGTCTAAGGTGGTGGGTGGCAAAGAGAATGACAGTGACAGCTTCCCCTCCCCGACTGGGAGTGGCGACAAGCCCCTGCCCGACCACATGCCCTTCTAAGCCTGAAGCAGCTTTGCCGGCCACGGAGCAAGTGTGGGCCTGCCCTCATCGCCACGACAGCCACTGCGCAAGGGAACAACGGCAGCTGCAGGAGGACATGGAGCGCTTTGAGGACAGTCATGCCGTCACATGTGGACGTGGCCCCTGCACGTGCATGACTTAGAGAACAGTCTTGTGTACAGATGCTTCACACTAAAGTCATAGATGCAACAATCACTGTGCCATCCTTCCCGGGGCCAGGAAGTGGACGGGGGGGGGGGGGGGGGGGGGGGGGCCACGTTCCCTTGGCGATCGTGTTCATGAGAATGCCGAAACTCTGGGAAGGGCGGGTGGACAGTGAGTGGTGTTTCTAACTCTTCCTTCCCTGAGCCACGAAGGCAGCGTCTTCCAGAAGCCCCATCTGCCTGCAGCTTTCATTTCACAATGCTAACCGAGAAAGCTGTCCATTTCCTGAGATCCTCCAAAAGGAAGCTATCGGCTGCCTCATTCTCACACTAATGATCTAGCTTTAGCAAAAGCAAATCTTTATTTTTTAAAAGCAGTGGATTTTTCAAAATTTAAAATTAAGCAAAACAGCTTTAGCCTCACCATTATAGAATTATTTGTTTGGACTCAAGCTAAAATACAAGCCTTATATCACCTAATGCTTATTTGTTTATAATTTTTTATATGTACGAGTGGGAGTTCTTCAGCGGGTTCTGGCACTGACAGCTCTGCGTCTGCCTGAGGGGCCGCGTGCCTGCGCCCGTGGTGTGTTCTGTTTCCCTAACGCACTCCCGGTGTGTAGGACTCGCTCTTCTCTCCTCAACAGCCCTTGCCAGTGGGCTCCTGGGCCTCAGGGTGGCGACAGGAGAAAGAAAAGCCAGCACCTTACAGTGCTGCCTCGCTGCCCTCGTGGGCCAGGCCTGACCAGGCGCAGCTGGCACGTCACTCAATGGCTCCAGCTGTGTTGGCTGTTCACGTGCACTCGAGAAGTGCACGGACCCTGCAGGGCAGGGTCTGGGGTCAGCTGGACCTCTGCTGTTGCTTTTCTCAGGAGCTACAAAGATCTCTCCCATTTTGAAGCTGCCACACCCCAACAGCCTCATCCAGGGCCCCAGGTGTCTGTGTCTGGAGGGGCAGCTTGTGCCTTCCTGGTTCTCGGCGGGCCCAGGCCCGGCCTGCCTGAGTGTGATGGGTGCACCCTGGAGAGAAGCCAGCAGCTCAGTGACCACTTTGGTCAATTGCTCTGGGCCTGAGTGTCTGTTGGTCACCTCACCCTGGGGTACCGTGGTCCACCTGGTGTTCTTCCTTCAGAGTCAGAGTCTCAGATTCCTGGTGGAGGCAGGAGGCAGGGCTACAACTGATTTGTCTTTTCCATAAAGTAAATAATGGGCAATTTGCCAATAAAGCATTCCTTCAGCTTGTGTGATATGTCTGTCTTCATGCAGAAAGGTGGTGGAAGAGTGGCACAGGAGCTAACAGGCATTCCTGCTGTCGTGGGCCTGCACCCTTGGGGAGGCAGGGAGGAAGTAGGTGATCTGATACAAATTGCAAACCTTCCGTGCTGTGAGCACCTGAGGACATAAAGGATAAACTGGGTTCTTTGGGGAAGGGGCGTGGAGACTGAGGGGGAACTAGCCACGTTACAGATTGGGTCAGGGCTGAGCTGCAGGAGTTGAACAGGCAGCCAGGATTCGCTGCATGGAAGGAGGTCGCCCTGGAGAGAACTGCTGCTTGGAGCCCCCACGCGTGTAGCTGCAGCCATCGGAGCTGGTGCTGTGCACGGCAGCCACACATCCCGTGGGCAGGTGTAGGGGGTCACGGGGAAGAATGGGCTTGTTGACCTATCCTCCAACCCCATGCTAGAGCTGGAACCACATGAAGGGAGTGACCAGTGCATGACAGTCCAAAAAGAAGAAGGAGTGGAGCAAAGAGGACCTGTTTGTCCGGTGGGCAAAGAGCTGCCAAGGCAGATCTGCCTCTAATGGGGATCCAGCGATTTGAAATGACAAGGCGTGCTTAGAAACCTGCCTGTTCCCTCGCCCACCCCCACCCAACCTCTCTGGCCGTTATTTGTCCCACGTCCAGTGTTTCTTCATGTAGTAATGTATTCTCATTCCCTTCCCCTTCTTGCTCCAAAGATGCCCTTACTGCTATGTCCTGAGTGCCAGCTGCACCCACCTCTGAGGCCCTTGTGTGAGCCTCCATTCCTTGCTGCCCATGGCTTCACATATGCCCATTCCTGATGTCTTGGGTGTTCACAGTAGGGAACTCCTTTACTGGAAACATTAGACTTTTGGAGTCAGAAAACCAGACTTGCCCCAGATATAACAGCAGGAAAACTTGGTGACTTCCAATTATCTAATAATCCCCAGCATGACAGTCCATTACAACAGCTGGTGCCGAGGGCAGAGAGCACATGGCTGCCAGCAGTCAGCATTCCCCCTCATTTATGTTGGAAGTGGGTTTCACATAGTCTTTGTTAAGCATTTTAATGGCCTGGGGCTGTGGCTGGTGTGGTTCAGTGTTGGCCTGTGCACCCAAGGATCAAGGGTTTAATTCCCAGTCAAGAGCACAGGCTCAATCCCCGCCCTGGTTGGGGTGGTACAGGAGGCAACCAATCAATGTATCTCATATCAATGTTTCTCTCCCACCCTCTCAACAACTTTAAAATCAATGGAAAAATATCCTGAGGTGAGAATAAACAAAAATAAGCAAAAGAAAAAACGAGGGGAAATGGCCTGGGCGTTAAAAGTCTGCTTTTGTAGGGTACAAGGTGCATTTCACGTGGACCCCGTCCTAAAGCTGCACTCCATTTGCAGGGAACACGGGGTGTTTCGCTAGGTAACTGGCGTGTGTGATGAGCTTTGAGTTTGGAGGCAGAAGTGGTGAGGTGGGTGGAGCCAAGGGCACCACTGGAGCTGGCCTTAGAGGGGAGCAAACCTGGAGAGAGACAATGGGCTCAGACTTACCCAGTTAAAGGGCATGTGAAGCACAGGGCCTGTAGCTGCTGTCCACATTTGACAGGCATCCTTCCTGAACAGGTTGACTTATTTGTTTAGAGAAAATGCTTAAACATTTTTTTAAATTGATTTTAGAACTCGGCCAGCGTGGCTCGGTGGTTGAATGTCGCCCTATGATCCAGGAGGTCACAGTTCAATTCCTGGTCAGGGCACATACCCTGAGGCGTGCAAGAGGCAGCCAATCAATGATTCTCATCATTGATGTTTTTCTCTCTCCCTCTCCCTTTCTCTCTTACCAAAAATCAATAAAAATTGCCGAAACCAGTGTGACTCAGTGGATAGAGTGTCGGCCTGCAGATTCAAGGGTGCCAGGTTCAATTCCAGTCAAGGGCATGTACCTTGATTGCAGGCACATTCCTGGTGGGGGGTGTGCAAGAGGCGGCTGATCGATGTTTCTCTCTTATCGATGTTTCTGACTTTCTATCTCCCTTCCTCTCTGTAAAAAAATCAATAAAATATATATTTTTAAAAAATAAAAATCAATAAGAACTTTTTTTTTTAATTGATTTTAGAGAAAGGAACATGGGATTTTTGTTGCAGTTACATATGCTGCATATATGACCAACCAGGGATTGAACCTGCAACCTTGACATATCAGGACAACATTGTAACTAACTAACTGAGATATCCAGCCAGAGTTTGTCCTATATAATAAAGGGGCAATATGCAAATTAACCCTCATGCCCTCACAAGATGGCTGCTTATAACCAGGCTGGCATGGGGTTAGTGAGGGATGATGAAAGGACTGGACAGCAGGCTGCATGGGGACCAGGCCGGTGGGGTTGTGAGGGGCAATCAGGTCAGCGGGGAGGGGGAGTTAGGGTGATCAGACCAGCAGGGGAGAGCAGTTGGGGGCGACCTGGCTGGTGGGGTTGGGGGGAGTGAGGAGCAACCAGGCTGGCAGGGAGGAGACAGCTAGAGGCGATCAGGCTGGCACACAGGCAGGGAGGGGTGATCAGGCCGGTGGGGGGGGGGCATTTAGGGGCAACCAGAAAGACAGGCAGGTGAGTAATTAGGAGCCAGCGATCAAGGATTGTGAGAGGGATGTCCAACTGCCAGGATCGGGCCTAAACCGGCAGTGGGACATCCCCTGAGGTGTCCTGGATTGGAGAGGGTGCAGACTGGACTGAGGCACCCTCCTTCGTCCCGTGCACAAATTTTGTGCATTGGGCCTCTAGTTTGTTTATAAACATATTTTTTAATATATTTTATTGATTTTTTACAGAGAGGAAGAGAGAGGGATAAAGGGTTAGAAACATTGATGAGAATCATTGATCAACCGCCTCTTGCACACCCCCCACTGGGGATGTGCCCGCAACCAAGGTACATGCCCTTGACCGGAATTGAACCCGGGACCTTTCAAGCCAACACTCTATCCACTGAGCCAAAGCGGTTTCAGCGATATAAACATATTTGTAATGTACTTTTAAAAAATATATATTTTTATTGATATTTTTAGAGAGAGGAAGGGAGAGAGATAGAGAGCTAGAAACATCGATCAGCTGCCTCCTGCACATCCCCTCCTGGGGATGTGCCCGCAACCAAGGTATATGCCCTTGACCGGAATCAAACCTGAGACCCTTTGGTCCATAGGCTGACGCTCTATCCATTGAGCCAAACTGCCTAGGGCTGTAATGTACTTTTTATATATCATGCATCTTGCTCGTTTTACTTTCAGGAAGCATCACAAAAATTGTCTCATTATGTAGCCTTTGTTTCTATTTTTAATAACTAGATTATTTCAGTGTATCTGTAGACAGGTTTTCATTTTCACTGTTCTAAATAACATCAAGAGCATCACAATGCATACACCTTTTCCTGTATTTGGGGACATTTTCTTAGAGTATCCCTCCATCAGAACTGCTAGGTCAGGGAGGCACTAAGACCTGGTTTAATCATTCGTGCTGCTTCCAACACAGGTCTATTTTGTTCTTGTCACTCAATTCTGATCCGATATCTCTCATCCTCTTGAATCAACAGACACAGATATCGGTC